CACCAGATTTAACACCACTGGACTACTTTTTGTGGGGATATTTAAAGTCTAAAGTTTATGCTACACAGCCAGCCAATTTGGATGAATTACGTCGTAGAATTATTGATGAATGCCGAGCTATAACTCCTGAGATGTTGAATAATGTAAGAACAAAATTAGAACAAATTTTTTATTGTTTCATGGAGCAAAATGGCGCACATTTAGAACATTTACTCTAAATTTCCTATGTGAGTTACCCTTATTAGGTGTTACTTTTATTGGGTGTGCTTTAAAAACAATTATTGGAATTTATTAACCCTAAAACAGTTTTTAAACTTTTCTGTCATCAGCATTCAAGGAAATCAGCAGGTTTTATTCGTTGTGTAGGTAAGTTTTTAGTATGATTCACGTTTTTATCAGAAGCATAAAATATCCACGTCAAAAGGCAACCTTCATAAGGAGGTGCCGCTCAATTTACCTAAAATGTAAGGGTGGTAACCAACCCCATCCCCCGAAAAAATCTCCTCGTAATAAACAAATAATTCTTACTTTTTTACGAAATCAAATGGACACGTATTAGAAGGTTGTCATAAAAAACAAAAATTTATTTTTTTTTATGAAAGTTCTGAACGTAAATTGTACCTCAAAAACAATTTGATTTATTTTAAAAAGAGTTGAACTCAAAAGAATACCTTTAAATCTTCAAATTATCTCGAAAACTGATCGTTACAGAAATTTTCTTTTAACAGAGATGTAAAGGTATTCGAAATACCTTTAAAACAAGGTGCCACTCGACCTACTCTTCCTATCTAAATAAGGGTCGTCGGACGCACCCCTCCGAGGGGGTGCGTACTACAAAAAATCTGATTAGTCTGAAAGGTGGCCCCCTTTAATTAGATATCGACGTGTCCGAGCTTTTTTTAAAAATATTACTCTTTATATTCCAAAACGGCTCTGTTAAGTTTTCGTTGTTACACACTGTATATATACTGCTGTAGTCTCTCTTATTTCTGAACAGATTATAATTATATAACTTCAAAATATTATCCATAGATGACGCCCAAATCAAGTACATATCTTTCGTGTAGCTTCTACATTATAACATAAACAAAAATTTCGGTTGTAACCCAAATGAATTTCGCCCATTTCAAAATAATTATTTTCATTTCTTCACCCAAATCATTATTTTCGAAATTTTTCCGTCTATTACAACGAATTGAAACCCTTGGAAAAAAATTTATCAGTGGAAACTCATTAGTCAAACGTACAGTCGATTCTGTCAAACAATTTGCATTTTATTTGTGTCCCCATTTGATTATTTACGATTACAGAGCTTTGTTATCAAATTGTGTTGATTAATATATTCATAGACACTGTGGACAATGTTCATAACCAATTCATTATTAAGAGCATTTGTATCAACAAGCGCTTAATCAATAAAATTCGAAATACTTAGACGGGAAGTAGGTAAAGATTTTGCTGATATGTGAATCACTTGATATACTGTTTTATACAAGGTGTATCGAATATGTGTGAGAGAACGACGGCTGCTTTGAGATACTTAAAAATGTACCTAACAAAAAAACCCTGTAATACCTTGAGAGTAAAGGCTCTTTTATTGAGCGCTTTCTATCTTTGGAGTTGAATAAAACTAAATGTGTGAGAGATCATCGACATTTTTTATTTGTTCGAAAGACCTTGATGCCATTATGTGCGTAATATAACATCGTTTAAATGATATATACTTTATTCTACAATTTGAAGTACCTTCATTTCAAGTACCTGATTCTTACCTAAGTTTGTAATGAATTGAATTAGCTTAGCTCATTTCCCATTTTAAACATTTGAAAAAATATTTAGTAACGGGGAGTTATTCAATTCTGAATTGATTGATTGATTTCTAAACATTCTAGAAGATTAAGTTTCACACTCTTCTCTTCTAAATGTAATACATCGTAAATTCATGATTGAACTCGTGTTCTTCTGCAAAAAGGTGGTTTGCAAATGTGGAATTGGTTTTTCTATTCACAAAACTACTTCTATTATCTTTAATTCTTTGAGAAAATGTTCTCCCTGTTTGGGCAATATACAGTTTTGGACAAGAGCCACAAGTCAGCTTATATACTCCTGATTTATCCGACATCGAAGTTTTGTCTTTATTGTTTTTAATAAATATAATTAGGAATCACACGTTAAAAGGTAAGACCTTGTTAGTCCTTAGCTCGCACAAGTTTTATCAACTTCTGAGAGTTGTCGTTCGTATGGGAGCGTATTATTCATTCTGTAAGCTACGTTTACGCATTCTTTCTTCAAAAAACGGGCAAAATTATTGGTTGGTTCACCGAAATATGACAATGTACAATAACTGACGTTATCGCATTTTGAATTTGGTGACCAGGTGCATGGCTTGCTTTTGTAGTTTTTTGGAAAGAATGAAGTCTATAATATGTACCTTGTAACCGTTGTTAACAACGATTTGTTTGATCAAACTCAGCTCTCTCTGGAAATCACTCCCAAACAGTGGAATATTCAATAGTACACATAGTACTGAATGCAGCAACTTCATGCTGGTAAGGGTTTTGTTAATTGTTATTTTTCGTAATAGTTGAGTCAAAGTAATTAATTATTCACCTCCCTCTCAGTGGTGAATTTAATTGACGGGTGGATGGAATTGGCATATTCAATGAACTCGCCTAATTGCCTATCTGTACCAGTAAAACAGACTAAGATATCATCTACGTATCTGTACTAGTACAAAAAACTGTTAGCTAACCGACTATTGTAGATTTCATACTCTATACTAGTTTTACAGATGTAGCTTCAATAAGATGGCCGTTATCAGTTGTCAAAGTTCGAAAGCCCCGGTTGAAAAACCAGTTATTTCGTTGTTGAGCTATTTCTAAGGTCCAAGAACTACTGCAAAAGATAGATAGATAGATTCTCGATTGGAAAAGATGCATACAAGTGGGTATCGTCAGCATAATGCCGAATGTGGCAAATTTTGAATACTGATAGATATCTGAAATGTAGAGAGAAAACAGTAATGGCCCAAGTATTGAGCCATGTGTCATCCCGAATATTAAAAGTAAGGCATTTGATCTATGTCCATCCAAACAAAATGTTCGGGTTGATGAATCGTAATTGCTTTGGTTCAAGGAATTTTTCCTACTTGTCTCAAGAATTTAATTAAATTAAATTTCCGATAGAAATTGGGTAGCCCAAACCTAGATTATCTGTGAGCTCATGTTACAGGGTGTTACATTAAAAATAAAATGCAGGGGGGAGGCTCCCCCCATCCCCCCATGGCGACGGCCCTGTCTCTACTCTACAGATACTTCAATAGAAAATAATAATAGTATTCCCATTATTCAATGATCCTCATTATGTTCACTGTTTTCTTTCAATTGGCCCACCCTGTACAATTGTTTCGCAGTTACTACCTGATTCGCAACTCATAAAAACTTTCACTGCAATATTGCTGTATATTGTACAGCATGAATCAAACTACTTTCTCAAAGTGCAATAATCCTGAATAATAGAATAATTGCCTTCATTCGTTCCGATAGTGAATTGCCAATTTCACATAATAAAGTGATGAGGTTGCATTATTAACAAAAGTTATTTTATTTGCACTACTTTAGCCAATAACAGTACGATATTTGTTGAGGTGATATTACATAACTGTGCGACTAACAAACACTATTTTTATCGATCGATGAGACCAGTAACAATAAACATAGTCAAGTCGACCCCCATAATCAAAGTAAGCAGGTTAACATCGCCAACTTTTGAACTCTTGATGTGAGAAATTTCGTCTGAAAATGACGAAAGCATGAAAAAGAGATTCCACAAATTCTGTAACATGAAAACAGCTGTCGTTTCAAATGAATCAGCCCCTAAGGAACAGTTACATCACAAATTACATCCCATATTGAGGGAGTCTTTGACAATGGCTAACAAAGATAACAGATACAAGAGATGAAACCTAACCTCAAAAAAGTTTGTCTATTATTGAATTTAATCCTCGAGCAATTATAATCTAGCTAGACATTCAATTAAAAACTTACGTCAAAGTGATGTTCACAAAAATTAAGCTGAGTACTGGACAATATTCCCGCTGAACCTCGTCTTGCAAGTTTAGGCTACTTATTTCGCGTTGTTTTTTTGTATTGGACGAACATAACTAACTTTTCCGTAGTTTTTATTGATGTATTAGTACAGTGACAAACTGCACACCACATACCTATACACTTTTGAATTCATGACATCACGATAGTGTTTTGGTGCGAATTTTGAACTAATGAATTGAAGTGTATATATTTTTTTTTGATGAAACGTGATATACGTTGTAATTGTAATATATTATAGAACATTATTTCAAAATCTGTCATCATGCCTATTATTTTTTGTTCTGTAAACTACGTCCAAATTTTTCTTTTTTATATTGGTATGTTATTGGTTAGTTCACCGTTTCATGAAGATATATCAATGAGAACTAGGGCAGCAGCATATCATTTTGAAAAATTTCCCGTGTAAACTACCCCCTAAAGGCAATAATAACATCATACCAAGATAGGTAGATAAAATTATTACTTTCGTTTGTAATATTCTGAATGGGAGACCTTGGTCAGCAAAAATCATAAGAGTAAACTACACCCATATAAGGGTGTGGATTGCATTTTTATGTAGGGTGAGTTTTCAAAAAATAACGAGTTCTTCGGATTATGAATGGCATATTTGGGTGATCCTTTCTGGCCAGCAAATTATCCACTCCCCCAGAATCCCTATCACAGCTACTCTTGACCCCTGCATTGGAAAATGTCACCTCTTTCTGCACCATCTCCACTAAAATCGTCACCATCGACAGGTGTAACTCCGCCGGTAATCCGCGGGGAGTCATTCAACCACCCGGATGACGTAACTGTGCGTTTTCCGTCCATCGGCGATCGAGCGTTTCTACTCGGCCGTTTCCGCCGAAAACGACCTCACGAAGGCCTATATATAACCGCTTCTCCCGAAACGACAAAACCCTACCCGCTAAATTGAATGAGAGTTGGCCCTGGTGCGGTGAGTACGAACCGGACGAAAACCAGCAGTTACCACGGCATAGGCGGGTTGATTAGGTTGATTTATATTATACGAACGCGGCACGCCTATTTCAAACTATGGTGCGATTTAGTGATAAGATCTAGTTGGCAAAATTGGAGTGGATAAATTTAAACACTGTCGTTTGATAAGAGAAGGCGTGTTTTTCGATAAAAATACCGGCGGAAATTTGTGTTGTCTTGTGTGGACCGAAGTTAGGTGCATTTATTCGGTACCGTAGGTGATTCCTGTTATTCTTCAGGTGAGTTTGTTGCAAAATACACCCACTTTCTAGTCTCTCGTTTCCCTGGTGATTTCCTCAACGTGGAACTAGTTCACAGCGGAATGCTTTATCATTTTCACCTACTTTTCAGTTAATAGTCACACGATTGTTTCGACTTTGTGGGTTTAATGATTTTGCTCGCGAATATGGGGAGGAACATAATCCTAACCTCAATTCGAAATAATCGATAGATATGGTAGGGGTTAGTGCGGCAGAAAAACTTGTTTTTTACGAAATTATTGTTTCATCCTCTTTGGGATTCTATCAAATGACAATACTTGAAAATATTGGCGTGAAGTTATCCACAGATTTCTGGCCACACATGCTGACGTAGAGGAAAATAAAAATCTGTGGTTGGGATACGAAATTATTAGCACCCGTACTAATATCTGTGGCTGGAAATACCTATTAACTATAGGTTGAACGTGAAATTATTGAGACTATTTGGTGTTTAACTTTTTTATAGAATCTTGACTAGATTGACGCGTCGATAATCGTTTTCTCATAAACAATACAGATTTAGGGAATAATAAAATTGTAAATATTAGACTTACTTTCCAATAACCCATATAGAAATGATATCAGATGATGTGCGTCAATGTGTGGCCAGAAATCTGTGGATAACTTCACGCCAATCTTGAAAATGAGAAATTTTGAATATTAGGTGGTAGAATTTGAAGGTCGAAAAGTATGAAACTTACCCTGGTTTCAATTGATAATAACAATAACCAAGAAATATTATTGAATGAATTTATGTCTTGCAGCAGGGCTGGCTTTAAAGCTTTGGGCACTACTGGCAAAACATGAATTTGGCGTCTCCTACGAAATTTTTCTGAATTGTGTGGGTGGATGAACTCATTTTTTGTAAGCAAGAAAAATGGTGTGAAAAATACAGGCACATAATGAAAAAGAAGGGTTTCAGTGAAATCTCAAACAATTTAAGTAACTACAAATAAACATTTCATTTTGAGTTTCTTGCATCAATTAAGCTCGATTTATCATTATAGAAAACCATTTTTGGTCCTCATAGTAAATGATGGAATTTTCATCAACCAAAAATCGAGAAAGAGTGGAAACTTTGAAAAACGGTTGACACCAAACATAATGGGCTGGTTTCATGATTTTTGGTTTATAGTTCACTTGAAAGAAATTTTAAATTGAAAAACAGTGCACTTTGTTTCATCTCTCTAAATACCGTAGTTTTCCCGTAATTAATTATTGAAAATTGAATGTGGTAGGGTGGGGACGTCACGGCCCTATTCCCGCTTCTTGTTCGATTGACCAATAGAAACAATAGAAATAATCAACATTGCCAAATCGTATAATTCACGGAGCCTATAATTACCACTTTAATTATTGAATTACGAAAGGATAATGTTTCAATTAATGAAAAATTCTCCACATACAATAAAATGTACACGATCAATCATGTTTGGAAATATAAGTTCTATATCTAAAATCACAAAACTAAGTCGATAGATCACAAAATATTTATCTAAACTATGATTTTATGCATTATTTAATAATATACAGTTATGAAAATCAAAAAATATAGCAAACTGGATTAAAGAATAATTTCAAATATTCAATTCATTCTACAATCCTCAATTTGTACAACTGCAATTTATTACAAAAAAACGATTCCTACATACATACCTCTTTCTAATACAGCTACTAAATTCAAGCGTTATAGGCTCGCTTGGTAATCTGTTGAATCTTCCAAAACTTGAGAGAAAAGTTGAATGAGGTCAAGTATAGACAGAATTGATTATACTCGAACTGATCCAACAAAAGCTTCTGAGGTAATACCATTAATCATATGATAAAATTTAATGAAGTAAAATGTATCATAATATCAGCAACAGTATTAACTGTGTCATTAAATTCAATATTTTCGTCTCCCTTTCATTTATAGTCACTTTTTAAATGATTTCTGTAAGGTCTTGGAAGAGTAGAAGGAGTGTAGTCCTTTTAAATACTGTCACCCTTTTTTCTCATCATTTTATCCTTTGGGAACCGATTAGGCTGATAAGTATAATATACCCCTAACTCGAGCAGTTTATAAGCAAACCAGTATCATTATCCATAGCATAAAACAAGCCCATCGACATTAACATTAATGTACCGCAAAACTGGCAAACGTACCCATTGAAAAAATGCCAATTTTCTTCTGTAATTCAAAACAGAACCAGAGAAAGAAATAGTAGGTGATACTTCTCTAATATTTATTTGTAATATCAATTCTAGGAAGACAAATTTCTTCATAAAACTCCACCACCCTGTACATAAGAACTCGAAGGCCCTGTTTAAGGTGTGTTAGTAACAATGATTTTAGTTGTTCCAACGAATTTGGAATCATTAAAATTATGCCATCTAGACGTACCAGAAGGATATTAATACACCTAATTGGGTAATATTTCGTTCATTAACTATATAGTGATATGGTGATAAGGAAACGTAGTTATCGATTTTCCACGAAAATGTAAACGTTGCCTCCTTATCTTACTCTAATTCTATCCTTGCTTACTTGAAGTTCTGAGTCTACATATACAAGTGTATATTCGAGTATGAAAAGAATTGTATGTCTACTTTCAAGGATATTTTGGAACTTGTCACTTCAAAAATTACTGAGAGATTTGGAAAATTATATTTTATTCAGCACTTTAGTGTTCACCACTGCACCACTGGGCTGTTTTTTTCACGTCAAACATTCAACTGGCATTTAAACGAAGAAAAACATATTTTTGAACTTCGAAGCTTAATTCGTTTAATTTCTGCACAGTGATTTGTGAAAGGTGTCTCTTCTGTTGACCTCTTCTGTTGACCAGTGCTTGCTGCTGCTGACTCAATAGGACTCTGCTGTGATGGTATGACCCAGTTACAGAAAGTGAATCAAACCAGTCGTTGACCACCACACATGAACCATTGTCTTTTTTGGTGGGTTTTCGCCTTTGGGCAGGGCCTGGGTGACTCATAGGTGCCCTGAACGTATCCTGTTGTCGTAGAGGATCTACTCTTCCTCATACGTGATGTGATGGGTCAGTCTTCACCAGGGCCCCATATCCAGGGTCCCCCAAGTCCTGGATTTCTGTAGGTCGATCATTTCGGAGCTCATTTTCGAAGCTGTAATCTTTGGAACGAAATTTCGCAAACCAACGTTCATTAACACTATCATTGCCAAAGTCCTGGTTAATATTTTCGGGCTGTTTCGTAGACAAAAACTGGCCGAAAATCGCCTAATGACATCACATAGTAATAAACCGAAAAGAGGCGACAAAAAACAATTAATATTTATCGAGATATGGACCTTCGAAACACGTGACATTGAAACGGACAACTTTTCAAACAACCAATAATTAAATAGGAACTACTAATTTGAGAAATAGTAGCCAAAACAGCAGTGGCGTCGAAATTCAAAATATATTCATAAAATTCCTGAATAATGTGAATTGAAATTGTATCGAAACTCGATTAAATAATCAAATACCAAGAGACAGTTTATTTTGAGACAGAAGTAGCGATTCACATTGGATTTTAATTGCTGGAGATGAAATTCATTTAGAAAAACGGAAGTATACCACATAAACAAAACAAAACAAAAATAAAGCATGATGTTGATGTGGCATACAAAGAATTCTTTAATGAAACTGAGGAAGAAATACATATCAATCCCAACAGAAATTGGTCAATCACAAATAATAAACGAGGTAGCTCTAAAATATCACAAGTACTGAATTTTGAAGGTCAATTGCTGGAGAGGCCCTCTAATATCGTAAACGGTTTTGCCAATCTTTTCCAACAATCGTATACCGTTTCTTCCCCTTTTCAACCAAACTCTGATATTGAGAATAATCACTTTCTTGATATATCAAGCTTCAGTGAAAACGAAGTATACGAGGCACTAAGGTCGCTGAAGCCTAAAAAGACCACTGGTCCAGATGACATTCCAGCTCTCATCCTGAAAGATTGTGCACTTGTGCTTGCTCGTCCTCTATCTATACTAATTAAAATCTGCTTAAGATCGGCTACAATATCAAGGATCCGGAAATCATCTAAAGTCTGTCCCATTTTCAAGAAAGGAGATAGACAAGATATTTCAAATTATCGGCCTTTCTCTATTATTTGCAACTTCGCAAAGGTTTATGAGATTCTGCTGGAGCGAGTTATATATCGGCATGTAAGTTGCAATATAAGTATAAACCAACACGGTTTTATGAAAAATCGTTCAACGGTCACCAATCTTCTGACTGTAACCCAACATATTGCTGAATCTATTGATAATAGGGCCCAAACTGATGTTATTTACACAGACTTTTCTAAGACCTTCGACAGGCTTGATCATGGCATTCTATTAAACAAACTATAGTCCGTTCATAATTTTTCGATAGCTCAAAATGAGGGCCCAAGTCATAAAACGGTCGTAAAACTCGTAAAATCATAGGCGGAGGTTCCTGAGGTGTTTATTCATTAAATATAAAGCTTCAGTTTATATTCGAAACTTGCCTTGAAAGGGTGAAGTTGTTACGAACGAAAATAATTTTTGGTTTAGTACATTTTTTGATCGCATTTAATTTACGGCTCGTTGGTGTTTCGGCGTCTACGGCAGTAATTAACGTCTCTAATATTTATTTTGCGAATTTTGTGCAGTGCGTGAGTAACTTTTTTTCATATTCCTACAAACATATACGTACCTTTCGTTCCTGCTTGTTTTGTTTGATTGCTTGCGATGGCTTCGTCATCATCATCATCAACATCATCAAGTTTTACACCGGTACTGTTGCGTACAGTCAGTAAGTCTGTCTATTCACCAAGAGAGAAGACTATTGTTTTGAACGTTCACGATGCTCTGGTTTCTCAGAATCCCACAAACACTGTTCAGAACATAATCAAGAGTTGTGCCAACATGACGGGCGTAGGGGAGTCAACAATATATAGGTTCCTATCAGAAAGAAAAAAAAAGGTATAGCTAACCCAAATAC